TCCCAGGGCCACCAGGGCTTGAGAATCTGTTTGAAGATGCAGCTTTACATTCTCCCCATTACGATAGTCCTTGGCACCATCCAGGTTCAGTTCCAGCTGGCAGAGATGGGCGGTGGGGGCAGTCAGAGTAGGGAGAGCTTCTTTCAATCCCACACAACCTCACTGTACCCAAACTAAATCCATGCCCTTCTAGCAATCACCCTGTCTTCCTTTCTTAATCCCTTTAACACACAACACCTCTTCCAACCCCAGTCACCTTGCCCTCGCAGGCCTCAGCCTGGACATCCACTCGCAGGGAGTTGGCCACTGGGAGGCCTCGATGATAATAGAAGGCCACGAAGTAGAAGGAGGGTGCCAGGCGATGGTCCACAAACACAGAGACCGAGGTCAGGGCCCTCCTGTCTTCTCGATTCACAGACACGATCTCTCCCCGGGATAGGATCTGGGCAACGAAGAAGAGGACAAGAGTGGTTTCCTCTTCATTGAACATCCCCACCCTTGAAGCTGCACCCAACCTGTCCAGGGGGCTGTTCCCTGCACCCTGCCCTCCTTTACTCCCCAGCTATGCACACCATGTAGTAGTAATGAGAGAAGGTGTCCCCACTGATGCCCATGGCTTGCAGGTTCAAGATGAGAGTGTCCCCTACACGAGGGGGTCGAGGATCCAGCCGCTCAATAGACAGAAAGCCAGAACCTCCTGAAGGTGGGGCTCGCACAGTGAGCCTGGCTGTGGCTGGATAGAGGGAGCCTGCAGACACCTGGAGAAAGGGACAGGTCAGGACAGGGTCAATGGCAAGAACCCATGTACCCCACTCCTCTCAAGTTGGGCTATGGACACTTCCTCTCCTCCCCCACTGTCCCCAAGGGACAGGGGAGCCCTACCAAGAGCTGCAGTTCTGTGATAGTCTTCGGGACAACGATGGGGATGCTGACGTGGCCAGTCCCATCTGTGTTTTGTTGAAAGTCTTGAATTTTAGAAACTGACTCAGAAGACAAAGTAGCAGAAACTTTTACAGGAATGCCAGAAGCTGGGGAGCCTGACATTTCACGGACCAGGGCCTATGTGGGGGTGAAAGGGGCTGGTAAAAGGAAGTGGTCAGCAAGACACAGGACCCTCCTGACCAACACTCCCTCCCCGCCAATCCTGCCTCCCCAAGAGCAACCTGCAGTAGGAAGGGGGCCCCAGGTACAAGGTGTCGCTTGGTCTTGCTAAGATCCAAGGAGAAGGCAGATGACACAAAACGCCAGGATGTAAGCTCTGCCTCCTCCAACTCCCCTCCTGCAAGACAAATGGCAGTGAGAATGTGGAGGACAGAGCTCTGGGAAAGAGGAATGGGAAGGTGAGGGGACAGCTTGAGCATGCCCCACCCTAAGACAATGAGCTCCTTAGCACCCAGGCTGAACAGTATTCATCTCCATTTGCTGAGGCCCAACAAAGGACCTGCACACAGAGGTGCGCTGGATGAGTGAGCTGATGAACAAATGAGCAAAACAATAAATAAATAAACCAAGATGGGGAAAGGGGCAGACCCATGCAAAGACAAAGTTGGAAAAAGACAAGGTCTTCTGGGTCTTTCCTGTCTTTAGGCCTGATATGAGGTAGCAGAAGTCCGGGGTGGTGCAGGTGCTAGAGAACACGATCAGTGCTATAATTCGGATCTTGAATGTCCCTCAAAGGTCCATATGGAAAAGGACTGGTCCCCAGTGTGGCAATAGTGGGAGGTGGTGGGACCTTAATAAGGTGAGGCCTAGTGGGAAGACTTCAGGTTATTGGGGGCACACCCTCAAAGGTGATAGTGGGACCCAGGACCCTTACTCTTCCTTTCTTTTGCTTCCCAGCCATGAATGGAGCAGTTTTGCTTCAACATACACTCCTATCAGGAGGTGCTGCCTCACCACAAGCCCAAAGTAAAGGGGCCAACTGATCATGAACTGGAATCTCCAAAACCATGAGCCAAAACAAATCTGTATTTATAAGCTGACTCTCTCAGGTAGTGGTTAGGATGATGGGATGATGATTAATACAGTCAGCACAGAAGTCAGAGACAAGGGGCTAGATTTTACTGGGGAGTCACCTACCTGGAGACTCAATGATGGCTGCTGCAACATACAGATGCAGTCCTTGGAGGTCAGCAATACCAATATTAAGCTTCTCCAGGGTACCCTGGACCTTATCCTTTGAGAGGGAAATGTGACTCTGGCCTTCCACCAACTAGGGCATGGAGTAAAAAAAACAGGACATGGGGTAAGACTGGAGTTCTCCACTTCTTTGCTCCCCACCTCTCCCCACCTCTTTCCTACCTTGTTCTGAGTCTCCAGCCCCCGGAGGAAAGTCTTCTTACCATCCTCATCCTGGAGGGCAAAGCGCACATATGCTACCCCCTGCACTGGCTTCCCATAGATGTACCTATTTCCAAAGGGAGAAGAGGAAGAAGGTAGGCTGAGGCCTGGTAGAAATAATAATCTGGGAAGAAAGGAAGCGGGGCTCTATACCCTATTCATTCTGCATGGGAACAAGACCTGGCAGGAGCAGGGGCTGTTACCTGGCCTGGATATCTAATTCAATTTCGCCAAGATAGCCAGGTGCAGTCAGGATGTAGGGCTTTCCAGGGGTGATCTTCACCTCAAAGTTGGGAAGGACTGACCCAGAACAAAGGGGTAAGCAGGTCATACCCTAGTGAAAGTACCCTTCTAAGACCCCCTCCCCTCTGGTCTATAGTGCCCATACCTCCCTGGTCCTGCCCTGTCCCACCATCTCTCCTTCTACCCCTTTTTTCCTTCATGAAAGAAGCTACCTGTCCTTCATGTCTCCAGCACTCACCATATTTCTTCACCTCAAACAGGGTGCTTCTGTTGGATTCCAGACTGTCTGAGAATCGGGCTGAGATCTTCCAGGTCCCTGGTCTGAGGATGGACAAGGAAGGGACTCAACTCACCTATGCAGGAGAACCACAGAAAGCCAGCAGCCTGGTTCCCTAGGAGTAGGTCTAAGGGGATAAACTAGAGGCTCAGGAGGCCCAGGGCCAGGGCATCTGGGATGTGACCATGTTGAAGGTGGACAGCCCAAAAGGAAATGGGAATTGGAGTGGTGTAGATGGGGATAACTCCCAGGTGGGGGTAGCTCACTCTGAGATGTCTGGAATCGTGAAGTCATCCTGGAAGATGGGTGAAGGAACGCGGACCTCCTTCTTGAGCACACGGAGGCCAAAAGAATTCTGTAAGGGGAATAGAAGTGGTCTCATGTGGGAAGTCACATCGGCAGCCAGGGTCAGAAAGCCAGTCAGGGGACTCACCTCAACCATGATCGTGAGGGTGTCAGTGGATGGGCGCATCTTTTGATCCAGTGACAAGACCCGGTACCGAACTGGGAATGCAGAATGAGAGATGAGCAGGAGTCTGTGTGCAAACGGAGGGTAGGCCCAAAGGGAGGGAAAGGCCCAATGGCGCTTTCTTTCAGGTTACCTCACATTAAAGGGAACCAAACATGTCCTGAGTGGGTTGGGAGGGAGTTAAAGTAGAGGACCTGAGGCCTGTGCTTACCCCGTTGGCCAGGGTTGTAAATGGGCTGGTCAGTCTGCAAAAAAAGGTGTCCCCGACGAGAGGAGAAGAGCAGGTTAACACCCTGAATATCTGTTGTTCTAGACAGGGAGTCCTTCAGCCATGATGATTGGGCCACTAGCTGGACCTCAGGGCTTCTACGTAGTTCAAAGAGGCCACAACTCTTTGCATTATTCAGGGGGATCTGTCAGAAGAAGGAGAAGGAGCAGGTCAGAGACAGACACAGAGAAAAATATCAGAACAACACAGCAAAAGGAAGGAGACCACTGAGGTGGGAAGAGAGGAAGGAAAGCCAGTGAAGAAGCCAGTCATTGGCAAGATTATAGAGGGGAACATTGGGGAGGCCCCCAGAAACAGCAGTAGAGAATGGGAGCCAGTTACCTGGAGACTGAGGAGCACAAAGTCTTTTTCTGAGCTGAGGGTAAAGTCCTCCTTTGGGGAGCAGCGGTGATTATTTCGGCTTGGATTTCTCAGGAAGAGTGATCCTTTCACTACCTGTCCCCGGGGGGCATCCTGGAGCTGCACCCCCACTGACAGGGGGACCCCCAGATGAACCACAGAAGGTGAGAACAGAAGCAACCTGAGGAGAGGGGTGTCACAGACTTGACCCTGACCCGTCCACACCAGCTCTCCCTCACTCCGGAATTGGGTTCTATCGCCAGCCGTGCCTCCACCCAAGCACCCAGCATATTGATTGCCTTTAGTACCTGGGCTTCTGCAGAGACAAGACAAAGAAGCTGGATGCCCAGATCAGCCCCCAGAGGAGCCTCATGGCTGGAGAATCCAAGAGGAGTCAGGTCTGTCTGTCTGTCTGTTCCCTTCTGGTCAACTTAGGGTTCAGGGCAGAGTTGACTCTGGATGTTGCTCCTCCCTTACCCCAGCTAAGCCGGGAAACCACGTGACAGTCAAGAAATGCAACTGGCCCCAGGCCCAGGTGTTGGGGGTTGGGGACTGGGGGCAGCCAAGACACCAGGGTCTGAGGAAATCTGGAGAAATGGCCTAGAGATCTTCCCTATTAATCTTCCCTATTAACCCTCCTCATCCTGGTGCCTGGGCACTGCCCTCTAACTGGGTATACCTATGTGTGTACACATATAATTGTGCTCACGTTTCATTAGCCTGCGAGGGCCCAATGTGGCCTAGATGTATACACCTAACAAAACAAGGATGGGCTTCTAAGACCCTTGCCTCTTACTTTTACCCTGACACAAACTGAACCTCTACAGCCTTTCACATTCTGTAGGCCCTAACAGAAAGCCTGTGGTTTAAGAAATGGGGTGCAACCTCACCACCCTACAGGGAGAACTGGCCTGAATACCAGAGTTAACCCTTGTTCTCTCTGAGCAATGGAGAAAAGCTCAGAACTAAGGTCGGCTTTACCTATCTCTACCCCAAAATAAGACACCCAATCACGTCACACAAAATAAAGGACATCCAGAAAATATCAGAAAGCAGAGTATTTTATTTAGCAGTTTCAATCCAACACATAGGGCACAGGACCCCTCTTGCCCCAGCATCCCCAGCAATCCCACCTTCCTGTCCCAACATAGAACAATAGCACCTTCTTTCCTGATAGGCAGTGGCCATGGTGGCCTTGGCACAGTTTCTGGCTCCAGATTCGTGGAAGGGCAGATAAATATTGCCTAGAGCCTACCACAAGAAAGAACCCAAGCTTGAACCTCAGCAGCATACACGGCAGCATTCCTGGCTTCCAGGCCTTCCCAAGGTGACCCTGGATCAGTCATTGTTGGGCAGGATCCCCAGGACCCTCACCCCACTCTGGGAGATGTGCAATGACAAGCAGAATCCTCACGTTTCTGGCAGGCGAAGGATGGTTCCAGAAGTGGTGGAGACACTATACAGGAGAAAGATAAGACTAAAGCCAACAGTGTAGGCCCAAGGAATGAGAAGAACTCAACTTGGTAAGGGGTGTTTCTGGGTCCCAGAGAAAATGGAGAGAAACTGGGCTTCAATAGTGAATTAAGCTTGTGTTGGGAAGAAATCCAACCTTGGGTCATTGCTCTTTCATCTCCCAGGCCAGGGGCAAGACTCACCAGTCGACCAGCTGGGCTCCAATGAGGTCATGTACATGGTAGGCAAGGCCAAGTCGCACTGTGGCAGGTGCCCGCCGACCCAAGAGCTCCGACAGGAGAAGCTCCCGGTACTTGGCCTTCCGGACCATGCCAAGGACTGCCTGGCGCCCTGGAGAAGTACAGGAAAGAGAAAAGGTGAATAAAGCCTAGAGGCCTGAGGAGCCACCAAAGGATGTTCTTGAGAGGTTGAGGGCTTGGTTGCAGACAAGTTACCTTTAACAAAGTACTTGATGAATCTCCCAGCTCCAGGTACAGCTAGCCACCAGCTCCCAGCATCACGGACAGTGAAGACTCCGGCCTTTACCAGGTGCCTACAGCAGGGGGAAGTCAGAAGAGACACGGCCTGGACTCTGAGAACCATATGTCCTCCCCATCTGTTTATGTTTGGGCACCAAATTTCCAGAAACATGGGGAACCATGCAATAGGGACCAGATAAGAAAACCCAACCTGGCGCAGGTGTCTGCTCGGACCATGCATGCTATTTAAGGTTTTTGTGCCCTTGCTTAATCCACTGTCCATACTGAACTGCCTTCTGCCCATTCTTTTCCTGTTATTTAATACCATTCTCTATCCTCTTAGATCCAGCATGAATAAAATCAGACAGCTATAGTTTCTGCCAACCCCCTCATGTATTTGTCAAGTCACTCAGCTCTCCTGAATTCTGGTCTGGAGTTCTTTTGAAAGCCCCAAGTTAAGATAGGCCTCCTCTCTTGAAAGAAAGAGCACAAACTTAGATCATTTTATTACATAAAAGAGTCAGCCTTTTTTGGCAGGTTTACTAGGAAGAAAAAGATATGTTGAATGGGACTGGAAGAAGGCAGGGAGGTACCAGATGCTTGACTGTTGGCCCTACAAATCTCACGTGATCTCTGGATCCCTGAAGCCAAAGGTCTGTGTCATTTGTTCCTGCTGAAAACTAAGGTCCCCACAGGCTGGAAGCACGGAGGCCAGAAATTTCTGTACTGCCCCAGCGTACGGTCGGCCATCACAGGCCTTGAGGACCTAGAACCAAAGGTGAGAGACATGGGCTAGTCCTACCCTCCACCCATCTCCATTCCCAGGACAGCATTTCTCTTCCTGATTTCCCTCTTACTCAAGACCTTCCTCCACTCCTCCTCCTTCCCCTCCTCCTCCTCTCCTTCTCTACTCCCTCTCCCTCATTTTACTACTTACCAGATCCCTAACCCTCTTGATGGGACATGGGATAAGAGGAATCATTTTTTCATTCCTCAATTTCCTCACCCTCCCCTGCTCATGACACCCACATACACAGCTACACATACTCTGGTCCTGTAGTCTTCAGTGAAGACAATTCCATGGGCATCCAAGTCAAAGCCCAGCTGGATGATTCTGATTTCTCCCTGCTCTTGAAGTTCCTTCTGTCTCCAGAGAGATAGAAATGAAAAGAAGGATTTCAGGGTAAGATGTTGTTATACTCTGGGCACAATGGGCCAGGGAGCCTTTGTTTGCCAGAATTGGGGAATTTTAATGTGTGGGGATATAATCAGGTGGTACACCAAGCAGCCTTTTTCAACTAGTTACCCACCTTCCCAGTCACCTGTCTTATCAGTTGTCTGTGAAAAAATATATATTTTCTAAGACCAGTTCTATGCCACGCAGTGAGATAAAACAGTGATTAAGACACAGGCCCTTCCCTCAAGAAATCCACAGTCTAGTTATCAGATGGCAGAAGGTGGGGAGAAGTATTGGATAAAATGTTTAAAACAAGTAAAAATAGCCAGGTGCAGTGGTACATGCCTGTAGTCCTAGCTCCTCCAGAGGCTGAGTCAGAAGGAACACAAGTTTGAGGCCAGCTTGGGCAACTTAGCAAGACCCTGTCTCAAAATTTTAAAATAGGGTTGGGGTTGTGGCTAAGGTAGAGCACTTGCCTAGCACGATGAGGCACTGGGTTCAATCCTCAGCACCACATTAAAAAAAAAATTAATAAATAAAAAAGCTATTAAAAAATTTAAAAGAGCAGGACAGGGGATATAGCACAGTGGTAGAGTTTTTCTGAATTCAATTCCCAGTACTGAAGATAATAACAACAACAAAATAAAAAAAAAAACTAGAATTCCTGTCTATAGGAATATAGCAAGAACCAAACAACTACTTGGAAATTAACTAAAATACTAAATATTATTTTAAAATTGTTTAAACATTAAAGAGATCAAAAGATAACAAAAATTACCAGACCTAATATAATATTTAAGCAGAAACAAGAACTCACAGTGGGAGTGGGACATGGAGAGCATTTGCTAATCTAAATTAAATCTGTCCAACACATGGCCAAAAATAACTGGGCCCACAGGAAACAAAAAAAAAAAAAGAAACAAATGAAACATACCAAGACTTTTATAGTGGAATTATCAAAAAGACAATCTGTATCAAAATACAGTTAGGTAAACAGAATAACTGTTCTATAGCATGGTAGGACAACTATAATACAGAAAACAATTTTATAAAGAACTAGAAAAGAAGAACTGGAAAGTTTTCAACACAAAATTATAAATGAAGAAGAAAATGATCATTATCTAATATGATGGTTACACACTGTATACATGGATCAAATAAGTCATATTGTATCCTATCAATGCATACAACCACTCTATGTAAAAATAAGACTATCCACTTTTATTTATTTGTTTGTTTATTTACTTATTTACTTTTGTGTTGGTATTAGGGATTGAACTCGGGTTACTTTACCACAGTCATTTGTCATTTTTTATTTTGAGATAGGGTCTTGTTTAGTGGCTGAAGCTGGCCTCAAATTGGCCCCTGGGTTCAATCCCTAGGAGTGAAACAAGGGGGGGGGGATGGAAATTAAGCTAGTTATTTATGAATACGTACACAGGTGATATAAAGAACACCAAGGTAACAATTATAGCAGTTTGAATGGTGGTCAACTCCCAACTCCCAAGGATGTAGAGAATTTTGGTCAGAGAAAGATATGTACAATATTGGCCAGGTTTTATAGTTTGGCCTAGGTGGTGGCAAGGTATTTCTTTATAAACATTCTGTAAATTCTCTGTGTACATTTATATTTTCTTTTGTGTAATTTTTAAAACTCTTTCGAAATATAAAAGATGTAAGCTAACACAAATAAATTAAAAACAACAATACTTTGTGTGTGTGTGTGTGTGTGTGTGTGTGTGTGTGTGTGTGGTACTAGGGATTGAACCCAGGGACATTCTACCACTGATGTACATTCCTAGTCCTTTTGATTTTTTATTTTAAGACAAGGTCTTCTTAAGTTGCCAAGGTTGTCCTCAAACTTGCAATTCTCCTGCCTCAGCCTCCCGAGTCACCACTACATCTGGCTAAAAATCACAAATACTTTTTAAAGAATTAGTTCCATCTGACCTGCTTTCTCATCAGACTGTACAAGTCTCCATTCTCCTTTTCTTCTTTCCTTTTGTGACTAGCTAACTCCAATGGAGAGATTTCAGCTTTTATTTTACTGGACCTCTTCAGAGAAAATTCTTTGAGTTCCAGGTTTTAACACCACCAACTACTCCAACCTCCTTGAATACCTCTTTTTTAAAAAAAAAAAAAAAGAGAGAGAAGGAGACAGAGAGAGAATTTCAATATTTATTCTTTAGTTATCGGCGGACACAACATCCTTGTTTTGTATGTGGTGCTGGGGATGAACCCGGGCCGCACGCATGCCAGGCCAGTGCGCTACCACTTGAGCCACATCCCCAGCCCCCTTGAATACCTCTTTACTTTCACATTAGACCTCTTCCTGGGTTTTTCTTAACTGGCAATTCCTTCTCAGCCTCTTTCACAGATTTCTCTTCCTCTATTTTTCTCTTACATTAGTAGGTCTCAATTTTTAAGGCAAATTAAGAATCACCTGAAGCAGTAATTTAAAAATGTAGATTCCTACATCCCTACATCCCACTCCTACAAGATATCTTAATTCATTAACCTTGGGTAAATCCCAGAACCTCTAATTTCTGAATTAGCAACCCAGACAATTCTGGGCTGCTAATTCAGAAATTAGAATAGGTAGAAATAAGGCCATATAGTATTACACTGAGTAACACTGCCCTAAATATTGGTGTTGCCAGCATTGTGGATATGGCCCTAGTATCTTACACTCTAAACCTGGGGTCTTTAACCTTGGATCTCAGAGGAACTGTGAAACACTCCCCCACAAATCATACATAATACTGTGTGTGCATGTGTGTGTCTGTTGTAGAGGCATTTTTCTGGCAAGAAATAGCTACTGCTTTCACCACCTTCCAAGCATTGTAAAAAATCACTCCCTTTTCCGACAGGATCTCACTCACATCCATGTTCTGAACCCACTATCCATACCTCTATGACTTTTAATTCTATGATTACTGGCTCCAAATTCTCTCCAAAAACTTTGGATGATCCACAAACACTCCAATTCAACTTGTACAAAATAAAATGCATCATATGCTCCCCAAAGCTCAATGTGCTCCTCCTGTATTCACTCCACCAACCATCTGGAAAACCTGGGAGTTACCATGAATTCCTCCCTCTTCATCACTCTCCACAAAGCCTCACTCACACTCCCCCTACCTTCCACACTTCCCTAAGTTAGGCCTTCCCCAGTTCTCAGATGCAATAGCTTTCGAGGCATGGCACTACCTCCAATACACACAATACGCCATTCTCCTGTTTAACATGCTCTACTAGCTCAACGCCTTCATTATAAGACTGAAATAGCACCACTAAACAGACCAAGCCTGTTGTGACCTGATTTATGCCTGCATTCCCAGAGATGGATGCTCGTACTATGTATGCCCCACGACTGCTTCCCTAAAAGTTTCAGTTTTCTGTCTTCTTGATTTGGCCTAATGCTTGCTGGATGGCTGGTGAACCGACTGAGGATCTGTCTGACGCTGGCCTTCGCCAGTGCCCACAAGGCAGGGAAGGGGCCTCCGGTGGTGGCCCTGACGCCCCTCACCAGTTGCCGGTCGGCCACGGTCCGGTCCGGCAAGAGGCTGTACACTTGGCTCCTCAGCACGATAGGAGGCAGCGCATCCTCGAACAGACCTCTTGGGAACAGCTGCACTAGCTCCTCGACCGCCGCGCGTGCAGACCCTGATTGGGGAGACAGGGACATTGAGACAGAATTAAGCGGGGCTGAGGGACAACTATGGGGGTGCGGGTCTCCCCCAAACACCTGGCTAGTGGAAGTGAGGTCCCTCCCAATTAGGTCTACAGCCCCGCCCTGGGGCTGCCACGCCTACCTGATTCACCCCTCAAAGGATCCGCTTCTACAGGCCCTCGCTCCCGCCGCTTCTTCAATGCAAAAGTCTCCGGGGCCAAGCGGTGTCTCTTCCGGCTCATATCCCCGGACTTTAAGGTACCGGGGAAGCGGCAGAAATTGAGGGAAGAGCTTGTGGAAACAGGGTCTTCCGGCGCAGAGTAGTGACGTAGACCTTTCTGGGAGTCTATGGAGATCTTATCCCCAAGGTTTAAACAACGTGATGACGTAAGGGTCCCACTTGTCTTGCCCTTTGCTAGGAGAGGCGGATACTAGCACCACTTCCGCCGGGCAGCTGCCCTATGCCTGCCGCTGATTGGCTCTGGCCGAGAGCGCTCAGGTCCCGGAACAGTAGGATGGCGCTAAGCCTCACCGGTGGCCACGTTGGGCTCAATTTCCAGGTGTAAATCTCACTGCTACCCACACCCGCTCCACCCCCTCCAGAGGATTTGTCTGGCACCGCAGCGGGATCGTTGCATCATTGGAAGCAAAGAAAAAAAAAACAATTTTGCATTGCTCTTCTTCTGATATGCCCCCCTGACGTCATAGCCTTGCGGAAGACAAGGTTGGGGATTCTAAGGTAACCAGATATTTCATCTGAGTCCAGATTCCTTCCTGACCTCACTGCATTTAAAGAACCTGGGGGATAGGGCAAAGAAAAAGGTGGGCTGGCTTTGAGGGGCTGGGGCCTGCAAGTTTCAAGGCCAAAATCTGGTTGTCTGGAAGCTCACTTTGTCCTGACCCACTCTTTTTCCCTCTTAGGACTTTATGGAGCCCAGAGGGACCAAGAGAAGAACAGAAAAGTTAGAGGTAGCTGAACCTCGGAACAAACTTGCCTATTCCACATCCTCACTACCCACAGAGCCTGCACTCTACTCTGGACCCTTTCCTTTCTACCGGCGCCCTTCTGAACTAGGCTGCTTCTCTCTGGATGCACAACGCCAATACCATGGAGATGCCCGAGCCCTCCGCTACTACAGCCCACCCCCCACCAATGGTCCAGGCCCTGAATTTGACCTGAGAGATGGATACCCTGATCGATACCTGCCCCGGGATGAGGAGGTCCGAGAGGGGCTGGACCACTTGCTACGCTGGCTCCTGGAACACCGAGGCCAGCTGGAGGGGTGAGATAACCAAGAGTAGATCTGGAGACTTAAATGTACCTTCTAAAGTTAGGAGGGCAAAAGCTGGAACAGGAATCAGTCTTTAGGTTCTTGGGGAAATGAGCTGAGCTAATGCTGTGTCAGACCTTTAGTCTCTTAACTCTTCCCTCTCAGAGGTCCAGGCTGGCTGGCAGGGGCCATAGTGACATGGCGGGGACACTTGACAAAGTTGCTGACAACACCATATGAGAGGCAGGAAGGCTGGCAGTTGGCAGCCTCCAGGTTCCAAGGGACACTGTACCTGAGTGAAGTGGAGACCCCAGCTGCTCGAGCTCAGAGGCTTGCTCGGCCACCCCTTCTCCGGGAGCTTATGTACATGGGGTACAAGTTTGAGCAGTATATGTGTGCAGGTGAGAGTTGCCCCTGCTCAGTGGCCCCTTTCCCCTTCCCCAGAGATTGAGATGCCCCCACCCCTGCTGCTGCTTCTCTCCTTGTGCAGACAAACCCGGAGGCTCCCCAGACCCCTCTGGGGAGGTTAACACCAACGTCGCCTTCTGCTCTGTGCTACGCAGCCGCCTGGGAAACCACCCTCTGCTCTTTTCCGGGGAGGTAGACTGCACAGACCCCCAGGCCCCATCTACACAGCCCCCCACCTGTTATGTGGAGCTCAAGACCTCCAAGGAGATGTACAGCCCTGGACAGTGGAGGAGCTTCTACAGGTTCAGGATGGGGTGGGCAGAGCAAGGACTGGGAAGGGGACTGGGGAGGATGATAAGGCCTAAAGGTGAGGGAGGAACAGAGGGTGGAGAGGGTCCCACTGACCCCCTGCCTTTCCTGTCAGACACAAGCTTCTGAAATGGTGGGCTCAGTCATTCCTCCCAGGAGTCCCAAAAGTTGTTGCTGGCTTCCGTAACCCAGAGGGTTTCGTCTGTTCTCTCAAGACCTTTCCTACCATGGAGATGTTTGAACATGTCAGGGTAAGACAATGACATCACAGTTCCCACTTATATTTGCCTACCCCATGCACCAAGACCACGGGTCCAACATCCAGGGCTGCAGTCTGCCTTCCCCTTCTTCCAACCCATCCTCACCACTAGTCTTCTGCCTCCTCCTCCTTTGTCCACTCCAGAATGACCGTGATGGCTGGAATCCCTCTGTGTGCATGAACTTCTGTGCTGCCTTCCTTAGCTTTGCCCAGAGCACAGTTGTCCAGGACGACTCCAGGTGAGGCATTCAGCTCTGTGCACCCCCTCTGGATCCCAGGAGCTCAGTCTCTGGCCCTCAACTCACTCTCCTGTCTGCCCCCAGGCTTGTCCACCTCTTCTCCTGGGAGCCTGGGAGCCCAGTCACAGTGTCTGTACATCGAGATGCACCCTATGCCTTCCTGCCTATGTGGTATGTGGAAGCTATGACACAGGACCTCCCATCGGTTCCCAAGACACCCTCCCCGACAGAGTGAGACTTCAAGGGGCCAATTCGTCTGCAGAGATAATAAAGGTTTTCTAAGTGGCTCTCCCTGCTGTGTCTTCTGAGCTGAGTCATCCTGCCCAACACCCCAAGCACATTTTGCTGTTTTATTATTCCACTTCCGCCCAGGAATCATTCACTGGGTGTAAAGGCTAGCTGCAAAGACAATGTCCCTTCGTAACAGGGTAGCTGCTGTCTCCATCTTGGCTCCCAGCACAGGCTCCCCTACCAGGCGGGCTGCCCCTCGAAGTGAGCGACACATCTCAGCCAGGCGCTGGATGCAGCGAACCACCAGGCCTTCAGGGGTCCCCGAGAGCCCTGCCAACTCAGAGAAGGGCTGTGGGGAAAACAGAGTGAAGATTGAAGATGCCAGACCCAGACAGCTTCTGACCGGCCAGCCAGCCACAAAACCCCAAACCCCAGGTACTCACCATGCCCCGGGCCCACTCGTACACAACCTCAACAAGTCCAAAATTCAGCTCCCCCACAAATTCCTCCACTGTCTGGTTCAGACCACAGGCCACCTGGACCTCACCAATCCGCTTTGCCACGGCTCGGACGCGTTCTACTCCCTGCAGAAGGGAAAGAAGAAGTCAAGGCCTGTCTTCCTGCTCTAGGCCCAGGGAGGCTCAAGTGAAGGAAGAGGCCATGTGCATTTTTAAAGGCACTTGTGGTCACCTGGGGAAACCAGATCAGGGGTTGGGAATGCCACAATCCAGGGAGAGTGGTAGTATCCCTTACCTGCTTGAGGGTGCTTGGAAGCTGATCCCCAGGGTCCCCAGGACTCTGGCAGACCAGGCCAGAAAGCAGGGCTGCGATCTCCTCAGGCCGCAGGGCGCTCAGTGCATTGTCAAACATGAGCTCAGTGAGGAGCAATTCATGGCTGCTCATGGCACAAGCCACCCGCCCTGCCAACTTCACAGTGCCTGCCTGGTCCACGTAACCCAGCGTTCGGAGTACCTACAAGAAAGAGGATTAGTGATGGGGAGTCTGCCACTTTCTCCCACATGAGCCTCCTAACCCCATCCCCACGGCTCCTACCTCTACTCGCTGGTGATACTCAGGGAGCAGCAGCAGTGACTGATCTGACAGTAGGAAGCGCAGCCGCTCTATCTCCTTCTGAATCTGCATTCGTTCCCTCAGCTTCAAATACTGCAGAGAGTCACAGGCAGGAGCCCTCAGTCCTCTCCCACTCAGCAGAGGTGTTAAGGAAAAGTCCCCCCTTCACTTGAGAGCTACCTGGGCAGAAAAACGGGGGCTGTGTACACACTGGGCTCCCCGAATTAGCTCTTCCAGCTTCCGGGCCCGGAGTCCCCCCTCTACTACTGACACATCCTTCAGCTGTAGGTCATTAACAGGGTCAAGGGTGGGAGGTCCTGCTGGGTAGGCTTGAGCCAGACGAAGCAATTCCTGGACAGCAGTGGTCACAGCTGCAAGGGGAGGATCCTTCCTAAAGAGGGAGCATGTTTTTGAGATCTGGGCAAGAGACTTCTTTGCCATAGGAACCTCTAGACAAGGGGATCCCCCTCAGGCTGAGGGGATCTCTCAAGTATACTCCCCTAGCTGGTGATTCATGTCCTCTGGGGAAAAGGATCCCCCCAGCATCTCTGACCTGAATTTTGGTTGCTGCCTCTTGCTGAAGTCCTCCAAGATCTTCTCACCATTCACCCGGAGCACCTTGGTGGTGATGGCAGCCACATCTCCTGGCTGAAGCTTGGCCACAGTATGGTCACAGGGCCCTGTGAAAAAGGAAAAGTAGGTCAGTCCTTGCCATAGAGCCAGGCATCCAGCTCACATACCAGTCAGGAAGCCAGACATCTGCCTCATTCACCTTCAGGCAGGAACAGCTTAAAGCCTACTAGGTCATCTGGGTGGGGCACATCTGGAGTGGCTGGATCCTTGTCCTGTGGATCCTCAGACACAAGCTTATCACACAAGACCAGGGTTGTGAAAATTCTGCTGGTGGAGTTTGAGGAGACCTGAGGGAGGCAGAAAGCCCAGGACAGTGGAATATAAGGAATAGACATCAAAAGTAGAAACCAGAAGCCCACCCTTGGGCTGGGATCAGGGAACAACCACGCACAGCCTACCAATATGGAGAGGTAACCAACCACCCAGCATATTTCTTTGTGTGGGAAGGTGGACATGAGGTATTGGTGGGAAGGAAAAGGGGGGAAATGAAAGTATTGTGGTGGCAGCAACCTGCCCCCCAGTCAAGCAGGGAAGACAGAGCTAGAGTTTGTTTCCTCATTCCTTCCCACTTTCTCAGTTCCCAACCCATCATACTCACCTGCAGGATCACACCCAGTGCATTGTGATGCTCCTGATTCTTCACAACCACCACTCTTCCTGCTGAGAGAGATTTCAGCCCATTCACTGACTCTATGATTCGTTGCTGAAAAAGAGGGAAATGCACAAGGGGATATAGTAGAAGGTGTCACTGGGACTAAGTTCGGGAGTACCCAGGGAGACCCAATCTCTTACTCCCTCACCCCATCATCTCCCCACTGGCACGCATTTACCTGGATCATGTTCCGGGTCTCTGTCAGTTCCTCCCCCCAGCTGTAATACTCTGGTAGGTCTACCAATTGACCAGTCATATCAGGCTCCTCCAAGGCACCCAGCCTCTTGGTTAGTTCAGCCAGCGCCTGTTCATGAGCCTGGGTGGCACAGGGGATGTTGTGAAGCAAGCCCCTCAGGCCCATCTTGCCACACCCCCCACCTTCGCCCAACTGGCGTGTATAACAACCTTTTCTCAACCTGGTCTTGTCCACCTTCCTGTCCAGTATACTGGTCACCCCAGCCTCCTCACCTTGCTGTCTTTACGGGATGGAAACTCAGAGAAGCTCCTCTTCATCATGTCCTCCACCCTAAGGGCATCTACCCGAAGCAGGTTGAGAATCATAGTGTACGTGAGACGGAACTGGGACTGCAGCTGGGATGGCTTCCCCTGGAGCCAAGCCAGAGAGGTCAATGAGATCAGGTGGGGACCTGCCACTCCTTGGCCAGTCCTATGGGGATCTGTATCCACTCAGATCTGGTCCTAGCTCTGTAACCATGGATCTTAGACAAACCACCTGCTCACCTCTTCTGTAACAGGAAAGAACAAAATGAAATACAAAGACTCTCAAAGGCCCTGTCTAGCTCAGTATTCACAGCAGGAATAAACTAGAATGGATGGAATCCAATCTCTTCCTTAGATTTTCTCAGTCTCATTTTGGGTTCTTCCAGGCAAAATAAAAAACTCCAACAAATATTCTGCCCATTTCTTCTCTAAAAAGAGGTAACTACATAAGCAAAATGAGGAAAATGCTAGTACCTGTCCTATAGAATTGCCTGGAGAGTTAAATGAGATCTTATTAAAAAATGACCTGGGATTGTGCCCTGGCTACAAAGTGAGGTAGGCTTTTTAGGGAGGAAACAGGCAGAAGGTTGGAAAAAGGAATTCAGCAGATCCCTGCCTGTCTTGGCCTCACACCACCCCTGCTCACCATCATCATGCGGTGCAGATCTGCCATCTCAGGCACACGACCCTTACAGAGAAGGATGACAGTGCCTGTGGGGTCCAAGCCCCTCCGGCCTGCCCGGCCAGCCATCTGTACATACTCCCCAGGTAGCAGGTCCCGGAAAGTGGAGCCATCATGCTTACGCATGGAGTCAAACACCACTGTACGTGCTGGCATGTTTACACCCATGGCAAAGGTCTCTGTGGCAAACAAGACCTGGAAGAGCAGAGAAGAGCAAGGATCAACAAAGATGCTCAGCAAAAGTCACACCCACCTCACTTTGTAGCCAAGGCATAGTCCCAGATCATTTCTTACAGGATCTCATTTAACTCTCCAAGCAACTCTTTAGGACAGATTCTATTATTGTCCTTATTTTGCTTATGTATTTACCTATTTTTTTCCTTTTGCACACGTATCCCACTGCAATGATTCCAATGTGTTTAACAAGTATCTTGGTGAATATGTTAATTCAGACCATGACTTGTTTTGTGCACTTGTAATTTTTTAAAAATATTTATTTATTTTTAGTGCTGAGGACCAAACCCAGGGCCTTATGCATGCTAGGCATTCATTGACTTAAATAGTGCCAGGGTGAAAAATATAATGCCAGGTGAATTCTAAACTGGTATAAGTGGTACAACAACTCCTAGTCTCCCATGTCTCTGGCCATACTTGGCTTATATTAGCCAGGTTCCTAAATTTTACATTTAATAGCTGTAAAGTCATATCTTCTAAGCATTTCAATTTATGTTTCTCAGATTACTAGTAACTTTTTCCTTTCCTTTTTCTTTTTTTCAGCACTGGGGATACAACCCAGGGTGGCATGGATGCTAGGCAACTGCTCTACTACTGAGCCACATCCCCAGCTCTAGTGACCTTTCATATGGTCCCTAGTTTTTTGGGTTTCTCTTCTGATGATCGTTTGTTTGAGCATCCTGTGCATCCCCATTTTAAGATGGGAAACCTAAGACTCTCAAAGGCCCTGTTTAGAGGTTTGGAGGTTAAGAAATTTGTCCAAGATTACACAGGGAGGATATGGTGAGGCTGAGATTCAAACCCAGGTGGTCTGGACCCAGAGCCCAGGTTCTGCACTGTCTTGCCTAAACTTCTATACTTCTGTCCTGGGGACTGCCCACAAGGTGATGCCTAGTACCGTGGAAGTTCCTCTTCCCCCATCATGTGTACCTTGACCAGGCCACGGCTGAAGAGCATCTCCACAATCTCCTTGAGAATGGGCAAGATGCCACTGTGGTGTACACCCAGGCCACGGTGCAGGAGTTCAGACATGTGCAGGACCTGTGAGGGTGGGGAAGTGGCCCATAGTCAGAGATGGGTCTCTGAACACCTTATTTCACCAATTTCCATACAGATGCACCTGAGGCAGTTGGCGGTCAGAGCCCCTGAGACGAGCAAGGCAACGCTGCAGAAAGAGGTGAATCTCACTCTTCTCTGAACTCGTGGTAAGGTCAAGTGAGGTGAGGCCTGAGGCTTGCTCATCACAGCGGCCCCGAGAGAAGGTAAACACTACCACAGGCAGCTGGGCCCGGGCACGGAGGGAGGCCAGGAGTGACAGGTACACCCCACGGTCCTGGAGAAGGAAGGATAAAGGGTAGATGTTGAGTCCCTGAGAGGCAACTAAAGTGGAGGATGTGAAATAGTGATCAGTCAGCCAGGGTTCAAAGTTCAAGACCAAGTCCCTAGAGGACTAGGGAAAAAAGGATAGCAGAGAAACCTATGTTGGCAGATAGGAACCCCCCCCAAATCTCACCTGTGCAGGGCCCCCCTGGTGTGTGGGTTGCTTGGCCCCAAAGGTCTGGGCATGTTTGCTCATTCTCTCCTTCTTGGCCTCTACAGCTGCATAGTACCTGTGGCAGAGAGGGGCAGCCATCAGATCTGGCTGGAGCCCAGACCTGATTCACCCAACCCTGGACTTACCCTTTGGTATGGAAGGCCCCTCGAGAGTCCAGCAGCAGAAAGAGCTCTCCCTGGGTCTTGGGGCTATTCCCTGTGAAGAGATAGTGCTCCAGGGGCACAGGGCGAGCAACAGTGCTGATCACATAGATCTGGCGACGCTTCAGTCTCCTGAAAGGAAGAGGGAGCAAGCAAGTCAGGGTGGGAGTGCAGAAAGGAGCACCCATCTCTAACACCTTCCCCACCGCCTCTGACTTTATCCAGTCTCACTCTGAGACCCAGAATGGAAAGTTGTCCCCAAGAATCCCATCTCAACATACAAAGTGTTCTGGGTCCAAGAGGAATTCCACAGCCACCCCCAAGGCCTGACTCTTCTCTTTGCTGTGGTGTCCTTAGTACCCCCAGCTCCCAATCAAGGAATTTTACAGTTCCTTCACCCATCTCACCCAATCCAGTCAGCAAACTCCAGGGCATTAGGGACGGTAGCACTCAGAAGGATGATGGAGACATGGTCAGGGAGCATAATGAGCACCTCCTCCCACACGACCCCACGCTAGGCATGGAAAAGGAAGACTGGTCATAGGGAGCGCAGAGAGGCCAATTTCTGCCCCCAGAGATGTGGCATAGGGGTCCATGGGGGCAAAGAAAGCAGTAAGGTCCTCTGTCGGGGGCCACAATGAACAGGAGCTGAGCACATAGGAGCTGAGCATGTACCCTTAGCCTCGAGCAATGAAGGTGTGGAACTGGCTTCCACTAGAAGTGCGAAAGCATTTCACCTTCTCTAGACAAGGAATTATAGCTCTGGGAGTGGGCGTCACCCAATGGACTGGGCTACACACCCCTGAAACCCAATCCCTTGCCTCATTTGGGTGGAACTTTCTCGAGTGTCTTCCCCCCAATAAATAGGTTTTCAGGCATGCTCTCTCTCTCTCTCTCTTTCGCCTGCCTCTCTGCCCTCCCTTGTGGGAGCTAGAGCAGAGGAGCCGTCACTGGAACTCAAGAAAAAAGTATTTTCTCTGTCTCTGTGTGCTTATTTAGTGCCAGCCCAATTTACCTAGAGTGATCCTGACTGATTTAGTCATGTGTTGCAGCAGTCCTCAGGGTAAATGGAATAGGAGAACTCTCCACTAGTCCCACAGGAGACCCCATGTTTCTTACCTCTGCATCATTAATATAGTGAACCTCATCAAAGATGACCCATTCCAGATCCCGAATGACATCAGAGCCACTGTACAGCATGGAGCTGGGAAGAAGAGCAGAAAGCTGACTCCTTAGAGGCTCCCATCTTCACCTTTGTTCTCTAGAGCAGCCTCCTCTACCTACCCAAAACCCACCATGTTGGGTGCCCCTTTCTCACCGGAGGATCTCTGTCGTCATGATAAGGCAGGAGGCCTCTGGGTGGAGCTGCACATCCCCAGTGAGAAGCCCCACATCCCCAAATGTGTTTCGGAAGTCCCGGAACTTCTGATTGCTCAGGGCTTTGATAGGTGAAGTGTAGATGGTGCTGGGAAGAGGTGTAAAGTCAGCCAGAGTCTCACATAGACCCATGGTCAGCACTTGTTCTGCTTTGCTGAGCTATCCCAAGTCCACACCCCAGAAGTTGTGATGCTCCTCTTCTTTACCCAAATGCCCTCACATATTCTTTCATGATATGACTCCAGAAAAACTTAGTCTCCTGGGCTAGGGCTGTAGCTCAGTGGTAGAGCACTTGCCTAGCATGTGTGAGGCACTGGGGTCGAGCCTCAGCACCACATATAAATAAATCAATAAAAATAAAGGTCCACTAACAACTGAAAAATATATTTTAAAAAAATGTCTCCCATCTCTTCCTATAGCCCAGGTCATCTTCCTAAACTTTCTCCCCACCACACCTTCTCATTTCTCTCTGGGCCCCATTTCAGACTTTCCTGAACCTCCTTTATAAAGGATGAGGCAGACAGGTGTGGGAGAGATGAGGTCCAGACAGGATGCAGGAAAAATCAGGGCTGGTTGCTGAAGGGTGAGGAGGGTACTTATACCGTGTCATGTGTTTCTGGGCCAGGGCAATGGCATATTCAGCCACAACTGTCTTCCCCGCAGATGTGTGAGCTGCTACAAAGACAGAGTCATGTTGTTCCAAGTGCAGGATGGCTTGTTTCTGAAACACATCTGGCTCAAATGCCCACTGTGAGAGAGAGAAATTGATTGGCTGAAGAAGAGGTCTTCTGCTCATGAACATACGGGAGAGAGGGACAAAGTTCAGAGTGGGGTGAAGCTGGGACTGAGGACTAACACTGGTCTGGAGGTACAAGGCCTCTGGTGGGGAAAGAAGACAAGGGGTAGGCTGGGAGACAGGGCCAGAGTCTGAGTCACCCAAAGATGAAAGAACATGTGAGGACTGGGGTTCAGTACCTGGAAGGCTGGCTGGGGAATAAGACGATAGAAATCACCAACAGGGGAGGTGACATCTACAGGAATGGCCCACTGCTCCTGAGGTGGAGGTTTGGGAGGTTCTGGCGGGGATATGACTGTGGATGCTTCCTAGGAGTGATAAAAGGTACAGCCAAAGAGCTCTCAAAGATCACTCCTTCCCAGAGATACTTCATTCTTCCCAAAGATGCTCCATTCCTCCCCTAGACCCAACCTAGCCATCCCACCCTCCCTATGGCAAGGCCCCTTCTTTCTTGCCTCCATTGCCCAGAACCACCAACCTTTAACACTAGGTCCTCCAAGCTGCTTGCCCGGGCCAGAGGAACACTGCAAGTCGAGGCTGAAACACTGTCCCCTCTGGGACCTTCAGACTCTCCCTTTGCCTCGCCCTCATCATCATCACCCACTCCCAAATCTAGAGGCTCCAGCAGACGGCTAAGGCTGAGTAGCCCAGGAGCTGGAGCTGGGTGATCTGAGAAGCAAAGCAAAAAGAGCAACCTTGTCACATCCATCTCTATCCATTGAAGGGTGCCACTGTAAAACCTCATAAAACTCACCCTTGGGGGCAAAATTCACGCCTTTCTTAAAGCCAGGTGGAATGGTGAGAAGATCTGGAAGCCAGGAGTAAAGAGACAGAATCAAGGTCACTGCATGCTGTTATAGATAACAGATATCTGCCATACAGATGCTTATAGATGGGTATGTCTGTTGTGACCATTTCCCTACAGATGACAATAAAGGTTGTTATTGAAAGATCACTTTTCCCTTTGTTTGTTTGTTGGTCGGGGCAAGGGAGAGCTTTCATAAAACACAAAAACATGGAAGGGCTACCAGTAGCCTAGTGACAGGGCTGCCTGGGCCCCTCTTCCTCGGGGCTCAGATGCAGAGCTTCACCTCACCTTTCTCAAAGTCTATATCCTCCTCAGCCTCCTCACGAGTGCTCAGATCTGTTATGGTAGGCTCATCCATCCCACCTGAGAGGGTAGACAGATAGGGATTCATGGAATGAGTAAAACAGGATGAGTGGGGAACCTTTCCCTGAAGACTAAGGACTCCCTCTCCTACCACCCTGTCTCCACAACAGTCACCTGGCCAGAAAGGGTACTGTGTTGGGTTCCCCCATAGAGACTGGGAGACTGGCCCTGGAGGCCGGCGAAGAGATAAGGAGGTTGTGGCTGACAGGTTTGTGTTCTCCAGCAGGACCTGAGGTAAGAGATCAGAACCCCAGTGAGGCCGAGCTTGCCTCTGACCATCTTCTCCCAATTCTACTTCTGGAAGCCCCTGATCTTTTACCTCCTTGTAGCCCAGGATCTGGCCTGTTGTTGGGTGTCTTTGGGCCTGAAGATCAGATGGAACTGGAGCCCCGGGGGCAGCCAGGAGTGACCAGGGATCTGTCTTCCTCTGCCATTTTCTGAAAAGAAAGGAAATAATTTTCAAGTCTTCGCTCTCTCTGCCCCAGCTTCCTTCACTGACCTGTCTCCCTAGTCCTGACCCCTCCAGTCTCCTCACCGAGCTGAATGCTCCACACCATGCAGTGGCAACCAGGCTGGAGAGGACAGAAACAACTGTTCTGCTTCTTGGTGCAGATCTGGGGCACAGGGAGGAAGGCCATGGGGAAGCTGGAACCAAGGTAAGATGAGAGGCATTAGGTCAGGAAAAAGAGTAACATGAAGAGCTGGGGATATAATTCAATCGGTAAAGTGCTTGCTTCGCATGCACAAGGTCCTGGGTTCAATCCCCAGCACCAAAAAAAAAAAAAAGAGTAACATGAAAAAAAATGATAAGATTTGTGTTTAGGTCAGAAATAGTAGATGTCCCAGACAGTCCAGGTTCATCAGGCAGAAGCAAGTTTTCCTAAAAGTTGTCAAAACACTACCTGCTACTAAATTATCTAGGGTACAGACTTTGGATTTCACAATCATTCCCACCCAAAAGTTGCATTCTTTTTTTTTTTTTCAAATATTTATTTTTTTAGTTGTACACAATACCTTTATTTTGTTTTATTTAATTTTTTTAATGTGGTGCTGAGGATCGAACCCAGAACCTTACATGTGCTAGGCAAGCTCTCTACTGCTGAGCCACAACCCCAGCCCAAGAGTTGCATTCTTTTTTTTTTTTTTTAAAGAGAGAGAGAGAAAGAGAGAGAGAGAATCTTTTAATATTTATTTTTTAGTTCTCGGGGGACACAACATCTTTGTTTGTATGTGATGCTGAGGATCAAACCCAGGCCGCACGCATGCCAGGTGAGAGCGCAACTGCTTGAGCCACATCCCCAGCACCAAGAGTTGCCTTCTTAAAAAGCTCTTCTGATAATCATTAAGTACACTTAAACTTGATAATCATTAGTTTTAGAAAAGGCATGCCAGACCTAAGGATGAAGAGACAGGGACTCAAAAGATAGCATCTCAGCCACAAAGTGCACTTGTTCTTGAGGACAGGGAACTCCAAGAAAAGGACACATTTCAAAGAGTTATCTCTCAGAACTAAGGCATTTCCAGCACTCCCAGCTCCATCCTCAGATGGGCTCTGACCCACTACAGGTCCACTGAGCTAAGATTTGCCCGGCATCAGCAGGGGGCCCAGATGACAGTGGCCAGACACAGGACAGGGAGGTCATGCTAGATCCTACTGAGGAGGGTGGAGGAAGTTTTAGGCTCAATGCGGGTCAAAGCTTGGGGTCAAATGTCACTCACGGTGCTCTCTGGAGTCCCAGGCACGTTCAGCAGCTCCCAGCGCCCCGTGCATCCCAGTTCCACGGTCCGAAGCGGCAGGTTCAGGGGGTCGGGGGAAGGAAGCACTAGAGAGAAAAGGTCAGAGGTCAAGGGTCAAGAGTCATTCTCAGTCTACGACTCGGTTCCACCTCCCTCCCCCTCACCAAGTCTCTCGGTCTCCAACATCCCGGAGCCAGGACAGCCGGCCCGCAGCCTTGAAAGGCAGCTAGTAGTTGCAGGCAAGCCCCGCCCCTAAATGGGCGGAAGTAGAGGCGACTTCCGGTACACACCCCCGCCGGGAGCGTGGACCAGCGCGGCCAAGGGGCCCGACCTGGAACAGTAGAAGGCCGGGCGGAAGTGCCTGCGCCTCCGCCGCCTTGGTTACCGCGTTCTCAGCCCCTGCTACGTCATCGCTTAGAGCCCGCTCTCAGCAGCCAGCGCTGGCGCCGCCCGAGACCGTGGGGCTCGAGTTGCCGCCCCCTCAGGTAAGGTCTTCTCTTCACCCCTCGCCCCTTTTTTCGGAGCCCCTTCTATTTTCTTCCCCTTTTTCTTGCACTAAGAGAGCTGCGCGGGTTCAGCCGCCTCCTCTGCTGTCCAGACCCCGCTGTTGGCCATACTAACTCAAATGGGGATGGGGGGTCGGGTGCCATCACCTTGGTGACGGAGTCGGTGTTTTTCCCTCCCTGAGCCACGTGGTACCCCAAGGCTCTGATGTCTGATCCTTGGAGACAAGAGGAAATGCTGGTTGATACAACGAGCGGGAGCTTGGACCACAGCCTGGTTTAAACAAGGGGTAGAGAAAGGCCAAAGGCAAAAGTAGGCAGGCCTGGAAGGGTGGGTTGGAGTATAGGGTGGACGGCGTGTGAACCCCGGGTGGTGAAAGTGGAGAAAGATGTCTTGGGCCCTGCCCTTGAACCAGGAGCCACCATGTTGGTGATACCCCCCGGACTGAGCGAGGAGGAGGAGGCTCTGCAGAAGAAATTCAACAAACTCAAGAAAAAGGTGAGGGAGTGTGTGGGGGCATATCCCAACCTTTCAGATTCCGCACTCCAAGAACACCGGGGTGAGTGTGAGGGGATGGGGGGGTTCCAGCTTACACCTGGAGACATCACCTCTCCATGTAACTTCAAAAGGTGGGCTTTCTCAAGTCTTGGTGTGACTTTTTCCTTTTTCTATGCAGTCTTTCATGGAATTGTCATCTTTTTCTGGGGCTTTTAATACCACCACACTTCACACTGGTAATTCCCAAGTTTAGATTTTCCAGTTGCATCTGTTGCCTTACTTATAATCTTTAGGGACCCAGACTGAAATTATTATCTTCCTATCTAATCTAGTCCTTTTTCTTGCTCTTGCACATAGAACTGACTATGTTCAACTCTTTTGTGTTTGAACTCAAAAATCTCATCTCTGACTTCTGCACCATTTGCAGAGCCAAACGGTTTTTTCCCCCTTTTCTTTTTGAGATTGGGGTCTCACTATGTTGCCTGGGCTAGTCTCCAATTCCTAGGCTTAAGTGACCCTCCTGTCTCAGACTCCTGAGTTACTGAACTACAGGCACACACCACCATGTTCAGTGTGCCAAGTCTTCTTAATTCTTCTTTCAAAGTAATTTATCCTGTTTATTCATTCCCATGAATTTCTCATTGCACACTGTTGCACCTAGGCTGTTAGAATGGTCTTCAGTCTTTTTTTTTTTTGTTTTGAACAAACATTCACTCCTATTAAAATGATTCATTTTGTCCTCAAAATTCATGAGTGATTTCATATTACATATACAGCAAAGCCCCAAAACCTTAGGTTGACATTGCTATCTAATCAAGCAGAACTGTTTACTACTCAGAATTCATTCCCCGAAACCGTCTTTTCTCTGCATCTTTGTTTTCTTTGTCTAAAATACTTTTCTATTTGTGTTGGCTTCGATTCTACTAGAGGCCCAGTTTAGTAGCCACATAAGCATCAGAAAGTCTTATTTGTATTCAGCTACAAGTAATCTACATCTTTTATTATCATTCTTGGCATTCAGTCTAGTCATTTCATCTCCTGGACTGTTAAGCATAGGAACCATGTATTTACTTCTGTATATCTCTGTTACAAAGTCATGTCTGGACTTCCTTAAATATGTAAGGAATGGGTAGGTGAACACCCCCACAAAGGCACATAGGCTTATACTTACTTGCAACTTATATCCTGGGGCTCCAATCCATGACTGGATTCATTTTCATCAACTTAAAAAATGTGAGACTCTGGAAAGCCTCTGGATACCATGGTTTGGTTAAGTATTGCTGGTATTGTACATGATTTGGGGGATCAGATATGAGAGGCGGGGATGCCTCAATGCACCACTCCAGGGGTACCATTTGCATTGTCTTCTTCAAGGAAGGTGTCCCTGGAGTGTTGTACCCAGGGGCCTTGGGAAAAGACTTGGCCTGCCTGACCACTGTCTTCTCACCATTCACAGAAAAAGGCATTGCTGGCTCTGAAGAAGCAAAGTAGCAGCAGCACAGCCAGCCAAGGTGGCGTCAAACGCTGTGAGTGACAGGAAATGGAGAGGATTAGAAGTGGGCAGTGTGGGCCTGACCTGTACCGCAGCCAACATAATGTCTGTTTCCTTCACTACTCCAGCACTGTCAGAGCAGCCTGTGGTGGACACAGCTACAGCAACAGAGCAGGCAAAGCAACTGGTGAAGTCAGGGGCTATCAGTGCCATCAAAGCCGAGACCAAGAACTCAGGCTTCAAACGTTCTCGAACCCTAGAGGGGAAGCTAAAGGTGTGCACAAGCAGGATTGTTCTTGGGACCTTTGATTTCCGAGAGCATCTCTCCAAGTTAGAAGGGAGATAGGTTTAGGGGGAAAATAATGCATATTTAGACATGGGCAACTTATTGTACCAACTGAGCTTTGGGGTTTCTTTTTTTCCTTTTCTTTTCTCTCTGAGATGGGTCTCCCTATGTTGCCTAGGCTGATATTGAACTCTTGGGCACAAGGGATCCCACCTCAGCTTCCCAATAACTGGACTGTAGGTGTGACCCACCACACGTGGGAAGAGCCTTAGGTTTCTTATTTGTAAACTGAAAAAAAAACTAGGTGACTCCTATTGTCTTCTCTGTTTTATACATTCTGTGATTCTAATCCATGTGAGGTTAGAGCTCTTAAAATGTGTTGCTCCAAGAAGTTGAACAGGCTGAAAACATCATCAGATTCAAGATAGCAGTTAAACCAGGTACTTTACATGTATGTCAGGTCATTTATTTTAAAAACTACACACAATCAGATAAGAAGTATATGTAGCATTAAAAGAAAAGATCAGAAGTCAAGAAGAGAGTGAGGGAAGAGTAGCCCCTCTGTCTCATGGTTAGGCAGCCTCCTGTTCCAACACTGACATAGGCTTCTACCACCTCTTCAGGACCCTGAGAAGGGGCCAGTCCCTACTTTCCAGCCCTTCCAGAGGAGCATATCTGCTGACGATGACCTGCAGGAGGTAATGGTTCCAATTTGCCATCCCTGAGCTGGGGATTGAGGAAGACGAGAGACCCCATATTAACTATTCTTGGTTTCTTTTTCAGTCATCCAGACGTCCCCAGAGGAAATCTTTGTATGAGAGGTTAGAGAACTAGACTGGGTCCCACTCAGTGTGGGGGTTGATTGCCTAGTCCTTGGGATGTTTGGGATTGGAGTTAAAAAAAAAAAAATAGGTTGTGGAGGGTGTGTTGAGTCTCCACAGGGTCTGGGAGGAGGAAGTAAAGGCCCTCTTTGAATTATATTGTCTGTTTCTCTTCAGCTTTGTATCTTCTAGTGATAGACTTTGGGAACTAGGGCCAGATGGAGAAGAAGCAGAGGGCCCAGCGTCTGGTGATGGTCCCCCTCGAAGCTTTGACTGGGGCTATGAAGAACGTGGCAGTGCTCGCTCCTCAACCTCCCCTCCCCGAAGCCGGGACCGCAGCCACGAGAGGAACCGGGACAGAGACCGAGATCGGGAGCGGGATAGAGATCGAGATCGGGACCGGGATCGAGACAGAGACCGAGATCGAGATAGAGACAGGGATCGGGATCGAGATCGAGACCGGGACAGGGATAGAGATCGAGACCGAGAGGGCCCTTTCCGTAGTGAGTGATCTTGGCTGGCAGGATGGGTGATCTCAGCTCAGACTTGGGTGGGTGCCACTAAGGTGGAAGGTGAAATGGACTGTCTTGTGACTGATTGCGAATCCCATAGGGTCAGACTCATTCCCTGAACGCCGGGCCCCTCGGAAGGGGAATACTCTGTACGTGTATGGAGAAGACATGACACCCACTCTCCTCCGAGGGGCCTTCTCTCCCTTTGGAAACATCATTGACCTCTCCATGGACCCACCCAGAAAGTAAGGATGGCCACAGGGCATGATAAGAAGACCTGGGATGTAAGGCCTAGGGGAGGAAGCTGCCCTGTTTCCAGCAGCCTGTGAGCACTGGGTTTGGTTGGGTCCAGCAGAGCCAGAGGCCTTCTACTGACTCTGTTTTTTTCTCATCCCAGCTGTGCCTTCGTCACCTATGAAAAGATGGAGTCAGCAGATCAGGCCGTTGCCGAGGTTGGGACTTCCCAGACCTGTTCTTCCCATCCCTTCTGCCAGCTTCATGTTTTCTTCTTAAAATACTTGAAAGCCAGGAGGAAATTGGTTCCTTTTGACAGGAAGTCTCTTTCTAGTCACACAGAAAAACTAATAATTTCAGATCCTTATTTATTTGCTTCTAGGATAGTAGCCCCTGGAATAGCTTCTCTGGGTTATCTGTAATGTTTCCCCTATCCTCTGTACCCTATCATCTTCTACTACAGCTCAACGGGACCCAGGTGGAGTCCGTACAGCTCAAAGTCAACATAGCCCGTAAACAGCCCATGCTGGATGCTGCTACTGGCAAGTCTCTCTGGGGCTCCCTTGGTAAGAACAGAAATCTTCCTCATTCCCCCCACAACCTATCCCTTTTTGTTCCCTTGCATATCCCTGGGTTCCTTAGAGGTGGTAATGGTCAGAATTTTTATGGAGGCTATGGGAATAGAAAGGAGAATTGCCAGGCCCTCCATCAGCTAGGGGTAAGGGGAGGAGAGAAGAGTATTGAAACCAAAGCAATGACTGGAACAGGGAAGAAAGTGGGAGCCAAAGTCAGGTTAGTAGGGAGATGAACAGTTCATGAGACTTGTGCATTCTGAGCTGGAGTACAGCAGGCTTCATGAAACTTTGAAATTAAGAGTCCAGAACTCAAATGTGAAGTGAGGAATAAAAATGGTTTAGTCATTTGCATCTTGGGATGGCTACAAAATGATAGTATCATTAGGAAAACTGATTTT